CTTGCCCCTCATTTTGCTATGAGGAGTGAAAAGGAACCACAGAAATAACATCCCTGCCATGGAGAGAGGAGCCCTTTCAGTTGCCCCCGTGAACTTGAATGTTTATTTAGGAAATAATTTAACCTCCTCCTTGTTCCGGCTGCTGGAACTTGATGATGGGGGCTTTTTTTCAGGGGGTGTTTGGGTTTTTTTTCCTTCTTATTAGCAGGAAAATCCCGGGTTTTCTGTGCTCACGCATGGTTTCCTTCTCCCTATGTCTGCGTGGAGCCGGGCTGTCTGGAGGCTTCCCGCACGTTGGGGTCAGCGCCGGTGCCGTGGGACACGGGACAGGCAAGCGCCACCTTCCAGACTTCCCAAACTGAGCGGAACTCTGATCTTAACGCATCCCCTCGAGGTCAGGGCTTGCCTCCACTGCTGGCACCCTCCAAGCAAAAACACGAGGGATTGGTCTTGAAATGATTTATCAGATCATCCGTGTCCGCCTTGCTGCTGGTTCAGGAGCAGTGTGGAATCTTAGGTTAAATTTTTAAAAGCAAGCCCTGCTTGCTTGTTATATGGTGGAGTGAAATGAGTATGAATTACGTCTAACTTCCAGTATCTCGGTTTGACAATTAATTTTTATAAATTTTATTTTTCTTGTGAACAACCCAGCCTGCCTGATTTTTAAGCTAACATTTTTTCCCTTCATTTATACCAAATACTAAGTATCCGAGACACTCAAGGGAAATACATTTCTTTCATCTGTGTTTATCTGAGGCCGAACTATCCTCTGGGGATGCATGAATAGAAGTGACATTTTACAATAACTCATTAAAAGACGAGGGGTTTCTAGGGGACCTAGAAAGAGTTCAACTTTCGCTAGTCAAAGCAGAAGGACAGGTTGGAAATGGAAGCAGCGCGTTACTTGTGAAATACTCCTGAAATCGTGTCTTGTTAAAGATTAAATTGCATCCGAGGGAAGATGGCGTGAGAGGGAACATATTGCATCCCCCTTCCCTTCCCCGGGATGTGGGCTTTTAGCTCAATGAACTACAGGCTTTGTAATTAGCAGCAAGGTGATTAGATCGGCCACGTTTCTGGGAGTAATTCGTGCACTAATTGTGTTTGATTGTTTAATTACTCTTGCTTACTGTAATTGAGGAGGGGTAGCAAACCCCTTTGCGAGAGCTCCTACAGGTTCCTTAGAAGTCGCATGTGCTTCACTGCCCCCAGTATTATCGGGAGGGTAACAAATATTGAACCATTCCCGGGGCAAAGGGCAAAGAAAATTCTCTGTACAGTGGGTGGAAAGGAGCTGGATCTGAAGGCAATTCAGATTAATTCTAATTTTTGTTCGCAACATTTTCTGATGCCTTTGGAAGGAGCTTAAAGCAGGAAATAAACAGAATATACCAAAAAAAGAGAGAGTTTATTCAGGATAGAAGTAGAGTGGGAAAACTGCACTTGGAGCAATCAGATGGGAAGCCTTTCGTTGCAATTCAGATTTGTCTTTGGACAGTGATGACACGCCACAGATAGAGAGTTGGGATTTAGTTTCTGAAGCTTTAGAGAGCTGCAAATGAATGCCAGTTTCAAAGACTCAGTGATGGAAACCCCAACCTGTAGCTTTATGTGAACTGGAAGAGAGGCAGAAGGGAGATCAAAAGTGAAATAATTCTTACGTTATTTGGGAAAGTCGCATCGGTGACATGTGTAGAAGAACTACTGTTGGGTAGACTTTGCATCCAGGAACAGATCTGCACCAGATGTCTGGCGAAAGGGAGGCGGAGGGACATTAAAAAACACAGCATGTCCTCGCATGAGGAGGAGAACCCCCAAAAGACCCACAAAACAGGAATTCCTTCATGCCTGGCTTTGCCCAAGCATCCATCTGGGAAGATTTGGTGTCTCACTTCTTTTTTTCTTCTGGAACGCTGCTACCCTGCAGCTGGCAGCGGCTTAGCTTGTGGCCTTTCATCAAGGCCAACTAGCAGGTACCTACTGAGCTTTGTGAGAGGGACAAGAGGGGACAAACAACTGTCATCTCCAACGTGTCTCCCCCCTCAGAACCGGAGGTCGGATGTTCGGCAGCGCCTCTGCTTGAGGCACTCTCTGGTCCTTTCCTGGGAGGACAGGGACCTTCCATTGTCCCTGGCGCTGGTGCCAGCGAGGAGGACACGTTGCCGTCCTAATGAGACCTGACAAATGGGCAATTGGGCTGGAATTTAATGGTTAATTTCCACAGCAGCATGTCGGGGCAAAGGGCAGGAAGGAAGTAATCCCTGAGCGGGGGGACGGGGGTGCCTTCGCCTCCGAAAGGTGCTGGTGAAGCTGGAAAGATTGAGTTAACTCGAATTTCTGTGTCAGCGCCCAAGACCTTTTTGCAAACGGGCTGCATGAGCTAAATACCGCGTGAATATTTCCCCCAACGGCAGTCCGGTATTGAATTCTGAGCGGGCTGTGCGTTCTCCGTTGGGTCGGTGTGTGTGCGAGAGTCTGCTACGTCTCAAAAGGAGCCGAGTTAATGCAGAAGGAAAAAACTACGCACCCAAATGCTGAAGAGCGAGCGGAGGTTTAGCACTTGTAGTAGATGCAATAACTGCAAAAAAAAATATTTCTGTACGGTGCTTGGCAGTTTCAGCTGAAAGCTGTGAGCTGAAAGGGGCTTCCTAGGGCTTGTAGGCTTTGTAGAAAAAATATAATTTTTGGATAAGGTGGGGGAAAAATGTTAACTGGAAGCCATTCTTTTTGGTCAGCAGGTCTAAAGACAGTGCATCCATATATATCTCCTTCCTTTAAAAACAAACAAGCAATTACTTTCTATTTTTATGTGTAGATATAAAAGAGAACAATTGTACTGAACAGTAATTATTGAATATGTTTGGTTTTATTCAAAGTAGTTTTCATATGAAATATCAGCATTATCTTAAACGTTCACAAGTATTTTCTCAATTGGATGGAGCATATTCTTCTGCCTGTTTTGCCCTCTGAAAGACAGAACTATGTGGACCCAGATATAGATATAGATATAGATATAGATGTAGATGTAGATGTAGATGTAGATCTAGATACTTTGTGAAATATTGAGTAGTCAGGTTTCTGGCAGAAGTTACACACAAGTATCTATTTTTATGCTACCTGTATGTGTATGGAAGGACCAGGTAGGATGTGTGAAGAGCAGTGGCTATAGCGATGGAAGGGCTGTTCAAAAAAATTCCTGCTCTGGCAGCGGGGATTGGACTAGATAATCATTTGAGGTCCCTTCCAGCCCTGAACATTCGGTGATTCTGTGAAATGTAGCCATGTGACACTTTGGGTTATAGTCTAGTGGTCACGGTAATGTTGGGTTGGCACTTGGACTAGATGAACTTAGAGGTCTTTCCCAACCTTAATGCTTCTATGATTCTATAAATACTTTCTGCTTTGATAACTGCCATGGTTCAAAACAGTGACACAGGTTTGTTTTTTAATCTTGTCTCCTTACCTATAACTAAATCTGCTCCAAATGTAGAAAACAGAGGGGGCAAGGTGAATTCTCTGCATTCATCTATGGTTCTTGCAACTCATTAGAAGAAGCATTGGCAATTAAGCTCCTTGCAATGAGGAGAGGCAGGACGTGAGTATTTTTAGCGTGCAGCTGGAGGGTTTTTACCACCCTTCCAGGCAGAACTGACAGCCTCTTGTCTTCTGAATCTGACTGCCAGGCAAGGACCGACAGCTCCTCACAGATATTTGGAGATGGGCTGAGTGAACTCTTGGTCCTATAAAAGGGAGCAACAGAGAGAAATCTCATGTCCTCAACTGGGAGGCTTTGATCAATACTGTAAATACAAAAAAACCCCACTTTCTGGTGATGAGAAAACCCAACAAATTATTTTCTTTTTATACTTAAGAGGAATTCTTGCTATTATTTTCAATCTTGCTGCGCTTTAAATTAAAACGTTGCTAATTGTCCTTTGTGTTGCTAACATATGTTAATCAGAGGTTGCTGCTGAGAGTTAGCGCTGAGCTATGGAGAGTTCCTCTCCCTGGGATGGAGTCCTCTTCTTTTTTTTTTTCCTCCGTAATGCAGGATTGTTGCCGAGACCACACAAACCAACAGTTTCCTCGCTGGTTTCTTGAAATGGGTAACGGGGCTTGTAAAATCTGCCTTGTTTTTCTCAGAATAATAAGGGAAAAAAAAAAAAAGCCCTCTCTCCTCCAAACCTTCATTATCTTAACATGATGAATATTAACATGAAAAGCCAGTTGCTGTTGAGAGGCCAAGCAGAGAGGCTGATGTGTGTGTGTGTGTGGTGATGGACAGGTCTCCCCTTGCCTCAGCTCAAGAGTCCAACCACATCTTCTTTCCTCATGCTGAGCATCGCATGTGATGTGTGTTACAAGCTTCTGGGAGAGGCTTCTTTTATTTCCTTTCTGCTTCTAACCAGCTTTTCGTTTTCCCCTGGCTGATAACGCATCCGTGGAGCAAACCCAAAGGAAATTGTCATTTGCCTCTCCCCGCTCTTTGTAAGGTTAACACAACAAAATGTTAATGTGCCATGTTGTGTGTTATCTGTTTCCCTCGCTGTTTTTATAGATTTCATGGTGTTTTGTAAAAGAACTGTTTTAATAAGAGCCAAGGACAATGACAGCCGTTGTGCTGCTGGTCCTGGGCAGGGGAGGGGAATGTTCTGCTGCAGGATGAACATTCGGAGCCAGAGGTGGGAGGTTACGTCCCCACCCGTGGAACATCTTTCCTGAAAACAAACAAAAAAATAATAAAATCAACAAAAATTGCTTTATTAAATAGCTACCATGCTTTCAAAGTTCCTTAGGAAATATCTGGGCATTGCAGATCTCTTGGTCAGTGATAAAAAAAACCAAAAAGCAACAGCCCCGTGTGTTCTGGAT